TTACCAGATGGCAAAGCTTTTTGGTTTGGCACTTGCTTTATTTGTGGTGACTGTTTGGATTGTGAGGAATCTGCATCAAATATGGCTCGCGCTTGAAATACATTCACATTTTGTAACGATTGTCGCTTTCTTATTTTCGATGAATCAGATTTGGCTTTAGTGGAATCGAAATTATTTTCAAACACCGCAATTTTTTGTATCACTGCGTCCGATACTTTTGATCTTCCTGGTGTGCTATTTGGAACAGCTCTTTCTTTGTCTGCTATCGGTGACCACAAAACTTTACTTTCTGATGAATATAAACTCGTCCTTGAATAGTTGTTTTCTTTTGGTGACGCAACCGACGTCGGTGGCGATTGACAATCCCTTTTCATCTCCTTTGGAGTAGTGTTATGAGCATTTTTTTCATCGTCTCGCGATTCAATTGTTATTTGTGACGGTGGTGTTCCTTTGTGTATCAATGTCGAGAATGTGGTTGTTGTCAAAATATCATCTTCCTGCTGAATTGCTCCTATCTTCTCGGGGGATGAAGTGCTGCCTTCTTCCAAGACTGGAATTATGCTTAGAGTATCATTTAATTTTTTGTTTTCAGTTGTGTTTGTTTCTTTCCAATTATTGAAGGAAGATTCTCGTTTGGGTGCACAAGCCACCATGCTCAAGTCGTCGTCTCTCGAATCATGAAAATATACCTCAGTTTTCGGCATTACCGGTGGTAATCCGCGATGACGTTGTATTGAGGTCCCATCGACCAGGTCGTAGACAGAGACATTTTTGCATTGCTGGAACTTGACCATAGCTTCAGAAGCTTCTAATCGTGCTAATTTCGCATCAGCTTGAGATATGAATACATGTTTCCTCTCTTCGCTGTAATCGCGGGGGCGTTTTGACACATCAAATATATTGTTCTCACTAGGGTCACACCGTAAGGCGTCCTCATAAACTTTTCTCGTCTGCGAGGATTTTTCCATAATATCTCCTAACTCCATATTTTGTTCTTTGAGAAACTGCTTTATGATCTTGTGCAAGAATATTCTCCAGACCGAACTTGATACATTCAATCCATCAACCCGGCCTTCAAGAAGATTGTTTTTACCCTTCTCTAGTATTGACTCTGAAAGTTGTGGATCCTCTTTAATCCTTCTGACAATTACATCGTCAGAATTGAAGCAGTATTCTACCGCCGCGTTTTGAGCTGCCGTTTGTTTCAGCAAAGCGTCAACAACCTTCACTGACAGCCCGGCGTGAGTAGCCGCATCGTGTAGCTTGTTTTTGTCAGTTGTGGATAGTTTGTTCCCCTTATAAATGTTCCCCGCCTGCACGATAAATTGATTCAGCGCATTAATAATTGCCTGGCGTTTTATCTCTTCTTGCCTTGCCATTTCTAGTGAAAATACTTCGTTCATCGAGTCAATGGGTAGTACATGGTTGCTGCTGCTTCTCCTCGACGATAAATCCCCCCCAAATAGTTTTTCCTCGTGCAATTCATGGACAGATCCCGGCCTCATGGCAGCCGATGTGTCGAACGAAGCATTTCCCGAAGAATCAAACGACTGGTCGTCATTGATCATTGTTTTTTGTTCAGTATTGCAAGAAATTCTTTTTCTCAATTAATTTACTATGGCTCTCTTATCTTTTCGTCGAGTTGGCAGTATTCTAGTGAAACTCGTTTAATGGGCTTCAGCCGACAATATTCGTAAACTACAATGTAGCACTCCGACAAGGATATTGTCCTTTCTGATAATTCTCGTGCTCGTACGCAAGTCGTCGTCGTCTTGCTTCATTTGCTTCGCCTCTTGGCCTGTAGTGGTATGGTAAATCAAGTTCGAACTACCGGTATGGTACTAGGTACGTAGCTATGGCACTGGTACTAAATGAAGGTAACGATGTGTTTCACTTCCATACCCGTACCGGCACGAACACCACGCAGAATTGATGAAAGAAACGAGCCTCGGCCGGCGCGCAGGGTTCGAAAGCTCCATCAAACGGCCATATCGAACGAGCGCGGCGTCATACAATAACGTTTTGTCATTCCTCATTTTTTATCGACGGGGACGAAAAAATATGCAAAAACAGCAGAGGGAGGATTCCTACAGCTCATGCCCGAGCTACTACTACCTACTAATAATAATAATAATAAAATACTAATACTACTAATACTAATACTACTACTACTACTACTACTGCACATAAGGTCATTGATATTACTTGTTGCAACCCTAATCACACCACCACCAGCTGATAAGAAAACAACAAGTCTAATGAATGTGACGAAGAAGAAGGGAGTGGTGATTAAGAGGTGAAATTGATTACATGCAGCAATGGGAACTACTACTAGTACAACTAGTAATAGTACTAGAAAGAAACAAACACAGCAGTGCAATGTACAAACAAGAAGCCGACATTGCTTACTATTCCCAGCATGAAGCTAGATTGAAATTTGGGCTTTTGCAGTTTTTTGGTACTAGCCCATCCGGTCATTATTGAATATAACATATGGTGCACTATCAAGAAGTATTTGTATTATCCTGTATTCCTCGGTGCTGAACAGGAATAAGTGTTTGCACTTCTATCCCTCCCACGAGTTTTACTAGGGTCAAGTTGAACTCAAACCTCATAATCTAGCAGGTTCATGGTGCTAACTACCTGCTAGATTTTGGAGGTCCAGACCATTTTTGTCTTATCAGTCTATTAGGTTTGGTCAATTGAGGAGCTTCACCAACATGACCCATTATTACTTCAAAGAGACCTGCATGTTTCATCATATGTTTCATACCAGTTAGAAATTGTAGTGAAATCAATACATCGGTTTCAATTTAAAATAATTTTGGACCAACTTTCTTCTGAATGATTGTATAATTATAAGCTAACATGACTTTTATTTCATAACATGTAATTATACCTATTAAAATTAGTATGGAAAAGTTCCAACCGGGAAATATTTCTTGCGCCATCGGCTCTTCCTCAACGAACTCGTATAGTCTGGGTGAACTCGTGATACATGTTCTCCAATCTTTAACTTTGTGTTGACGATAGTGCCACATTCTGGAGCGTCTTCCCACTCTTCGTCTTCTGAAAAGCTACTGCTGGTCGAATAAGAACGAATCGAATCATCTTTGCCATCACGAGTGTCTTTGGTGTAAGTGCTCTCTCCATCAGAATCATATTCAGAGTCACTGCCTGACCCTAAAGTACCGCCCCAACTTGTATACCATTCTGGAGTCCAGTCTCCAGGATCTGGTATATTTCTCATAGGCATTTCCATTGATTTTGGTTTGCAAACAGGAGCCTTTATTCTGTCATTCCCGCTTGTCTTCACTAAAGTACCGAACCAATTTCTTGAAAAAGTCAAGCTCCGCTCGTGAAGGAAACGCTGACGCACATTGCGGAGTTCCCATGGGGTTTCGTCCTTCAGCACATTTTTCTCCCCATTTACTGCAGATTCTTGTAATGAGAGCACGTCAATGTCAGAATAACCAGCGTGAGGCTTCACTCTACGCTTATATGGGATTTTGCAGGTTTTCCTTGCAAGTGGGAAAGCTTTTTTGGTGAACAAAAGATTCGATACGCCTTTTCCTATAGCAACACCATCGATGCCTACTCCTGAGAGATTTGAGCCTCCTGGAGAAGAAAGCCAGGTTGCCTCTTGCCATTCCCAACCATAGGTCGCCATCGCTGTCCTTCGTTGCCAAACTTCTTCGTCAAAGCTCTCAATACTTTTGCAAGCTTCTAATATTTTCATGTCGACGGGCTCGATCTCCTGCTTTTTGATAGCCTGAACAACCTTTGGGATGGTGTCTGGGCATTCGATTGCAATTTGTTCTGCGTTTCCGATGGTATTTTCCTTTGACTCGTGGGTTGATCCTTTAGAATCGTCGCTATCTATCGTCTCGCTTTCATTGTACTCGTAATTAGTCTCGTCTTCACTTTTTGTCTTCATGAAATCCGGTTCGATCGCGGATGTCACAATGTCATCATCAGGATCATAATCACGACTACCAGTGCCCATCAGTTCTTTAGATTTCTTGTCATGTTTATGCTTTTTCCTCGCTTTCGTGTTTTCAACCTCAGCATTTGCACCAAATTTTGAAGACAAAAATGCGGCGATAGCCTCATCTTCGTTGACTTCTTCTATATCGTCCCAGCCTATCGAAAGCAAATCTGGGTCATCTTCCTCAGATTTTTTCGGTGCAACATCAGGGTGGTCGTCCTTCACATGGTCGATAAAAGCATCAACGAAAGCGAGGGGGATATCTGCTTTCAGTGCTGCTTGTCGAATCTGAGCTTCCTCGATTATGGTAGGTTTTTTCCCGTCTATGACAGGCATCATCAATCTTTTGAAGCCTTTGACCAACTTCTCGTCCTCTTCTCCTTTAAATATCCGTGCATCAATCGTGTAAAAATAGCTGATCAACGCTGCTGGTGACATGGCATCAGGAACATCGTCTTCAACAATCTCGTGATTTTGATGGTCTAAACTGTTGTCTGGTTCCAAACTTTGGTCCGTTTCCCCCTCCTCACTCAAGTCCAAATCTTCAAATTGGCGAAGGAAAGAATTATTTTGCTCAATTTTTCCCTCATGTTCTCCTGCTTTTGCGTTGGTTTCGGTATCTGTCGCTGTAGCAACGTTGCTGGCTTTAATTGGACTAGAGACAAATCCAGCCATTTCTCCCGATGGGTCTTGAGCAATTTCGCGATCTTCTTCATCTTCTACTTGGGATGATGTGGGGTCCCCTACTTCGTCATCGCAGACACCGTATTTATCATCAACGACTTCAATGCTTTCTTGTTCGGATATCCCAGCTTCACCAGATTCAGTAGAATTTAGACGTACCCTATCGCTTATGCCCGACGCTTCGGTCTCATCAGTGCTACTGAAAATTCCATCACTTGTGCCTCGTTGAAGAGCATAGTCATCTTCTGGTACATAATCGTTGTACAATATGTTATCAACAAGACAACCATTTCCTTCGAAAGAATCTGAAGTCTGCACTGCATTTTCCTCCTCGTCGTCATCGATGTCTTCCTCTTCATAACTCTTCTCATCACTATCATCACTTCTCACTTCTGAGACAAAAGATTCGCCATTCTTGAATTCACTAGCGGCCTCGCTTGCTTGTATGGATGTATCATCAAAAAGGCTGGCAACATTTCTTGATTTGTTTGACGGCCGAGGTCCAGATACAACAAATCGTGGGCGCCGGCGACCTGTTGCTCGCATAGTTTCTTCACTAGCAACATCTCGAAGAGCCCATGGAACTGAATCAGTCTCGCTCAATCCCTGGCTTTTGACGCTATTAGCGCCGTCGTCAATGCCAACGTTTTGAGATGATTTTCCAACATTTTGTGAGTCCGTACTAATCACAGACATATCACTATTCATCATGTTTTGTTCCACACCAACGTTGGATACAGGTAATTTCTCAACTTCTACACCGGTTTTTTCGTAAGTTCCTTTCGGCTCCTTTCTTCCATCGGGTCCATACACTGACTCTTGTTCATAGGAAGCTACAGCTGGTAGCGCGAACTCTCGCATCTGATTCACTTCTTTTTCAGGCGCAGAGAACTCAACCTCATTCTCCTCTTCTTCCTCGGCTTCCGCTGAAAATACCTCTTCTACAGTACTAAGTGTGTTGCGCATACTAGCTGCAAACGACGTCTCAGTATAATGGCTTTCACGAGACTTGTCGTCGTTCGCTTCTTCTTCAGTGCCTTCTTGAGTTGCTTCTTCTTCCGCTACAATAGAATTCACGAGAGTTGCTTGACTGTTTTTGTGGGGTTCCTCCTCACGATATGAAAGATCCAGAAATGGATTTACTTTTTCGCTTTGCTCAGTATATACGGCTTCAGCCTGGGGCGAAGCTGCAGGAGGATCGTCTTTATGGCCAGAAATTCCGGTATGAAACATCGATGGCGGATCGTTACAAGACTGTACATCCTCCAGCCTTTCATAAATTGGGCTTTCTTGTTCATTGATCTCTTCGCGCTTCTCACTTTTTTTTGTAGCAGCATCAATGTAGGCCGATATTTCAGCCAACGTCTCTTGGTCAATTTCTCCAGACGACACCTTATCTTCATCTACCAAAGAATCCGCAGAAGCTGCCCTTAGATTTTCAATAGAGTCTACTGCATTTATCGCATTGCTGTTATTGGAATCCACTGACATCGAACGTAATTCTCCGACTCCTAAACGATTGAGAAACGCGTTGACGTCGTCAAGAGTCTTTGCATCAACTGCCACATCAAAATCGTCGCTTCCATTTGAGCATAGACTTGGGGCAACCGGAATACCATCGCAAGACGTGGTGGTTGAAGTAGAAGGAACGCCTAGGGAAGATTGATCTCTAGGCAGTTGCAATGAAATACTCATAGAACCTCGTGCACTACTAGATACCGACTTCTCTCCACTCGGCAAGGAAGGTGGTGCGGAATTTTCCCCCCTTGCAGACGCGTAACTGTTGGTTGTCTTGCTCTTCGACGAGGAGTCAGTCACGAGAGAAGTAGAGGTTTGGTCGGATGCGAATGATCGTGGCTGTAGAATCTGGTCTTCGGCTCGTTGAGCTACCGACTTCGCGATTTGTTTGGCCCGAACAAGCGCGATCGCAGCAGAAACAGAGTCTCGTGAAGGAATAGAAGAACCAGAACTCGCCATCGCTCCGCTGTTGCAAGTTGAAGTAGCTAAGCTCGGGTTTGTATGTGTTGATTTGTGGGGAGACGGCGGGGCAGGGATAAGTCCAACACCATTGTCATCAACCTCTGTGATGAATCCATCCCTAATTGTAGCCATCCTCGTGAGTTGTTCCCAACAGAATACTTCGATCCTTCTTTTCAAAAAAGGTGTGCTTTTGTAAGATTGATAGCAATGAGGTGAATGCTTATTGTTTGTTATTCCTAAACAACCTTCTTTGCTGTTCCTATTGTTGAAGTGTTTAATGAATAACGCTTCAGTGATATTTACTGCGAAAAGCGTTGGCTCAAGCGGATGTAAACACAAAAACCTCTTTTCTTTCGATACAAAAAAATACAGGCCGATCCGCTACAAGAACAACGATGTACGTACCGTACTAGGAGTAGTCGTTCTAATGAGCGAGCGTTCAGATTTCTCATCTTTTCTCGTGTAAATTGCGCGCCTATGGGCGATTGATGTGTTCATTTCGCAGAAAATTGTTTCGAAGAATTTAATAATTAATGTTCATATATGAATATGTTTATTTTGTCAATCATGTCACAGAGAGTCTTGCCAGCGGAACTTTCGAGCATAAACGGTCAGTGTTTGGTTCGCAATCTACCCAATGTTTTTACGAATAACGCCTAGAGTAACCGTACCGGCCGGTACGAAGGCATCATGTCGTTCGTTCCATGCACACTTTGGAGCAAGTAAATCGTTGAAAGTGAATTTCAAACGTGGAACTGACGAGGGAAGTTACGAAACGCCGCTTTACCAGTACGTATTTTAAGCTACTGGACCAAAGACACTCCGCACGCCTAGTAAGCAATTTTGGCGTTAATTTAGAGTTCAGGTTAATCTTATTACTAGTCAAAACACAAAATTTGACCTGTCTTCACTTGCAAATGAAATTCTATGATTAAATCCAACTGATCAAAACAAATTGCACGAGATATCGTGTAGATTGGTTTTTAAAGAAGTATGTAAGAGTGATATTACTATTTTATTGATTTGGTATCTAAAGTGTCACTGTGCTTTTACGTGTTAGTAACCACCACATGTTTGTTGCTGGTGGTGTGAGTTCTTCAGTTCTGATTAGGTTCCTATGTAGATTGTGGTACTGGATCTACATGGGGTTCTTGTTATTATTCTTGACTTGTCACCACATGATCATAGTTCTTTTGCTTGGATAGTACAATGTCATACCTCTTAACTTCTTAGATCTCTTAGATTCCTTGGTATGATGGATCCCATGATACATAGTAGATATGGATAGTAACTTATGATACTTAGGTATGAATTGTGCCTTTGATTGTATCTGTACTTCATGTTTGTATACGCATCTGCATGTTCATGTATGTGTACCTATATGTACAAATATGTTGCACAAATGAAATTGTACTTCATTCACATCCAATCTATATTACTATTAGCCAATCAGATCTCTTGATTCTTAATTTTATCCACCATAACACACGAAATTGACATAAATTGAATACTAGTTGTGTCCAACTAAGTCAAGGAAGAATGGTTATGCTCTTCCCATACTGGCCCCTCCAGAACCCACTTGGGCAACCCCCCCCCTTTTTTGAACTGCTCCCCTAGAAAAATGTGGGTTATTTTTGGTGAAAAATAAACCAAAGTTTCAAAACATGGGATTTTTTAGGTGAAAAATAACCCACAAATAACCCACAAATTCAATTCATTTTGGTCAGACGAGAACTCAGAATGTTAATTATTGTAGTCATTCAATGGAAAGGGGGGTCTAGAAGGCCCTGATACATGATGACATATGTCCGTTATCTGTTCATTGTAGTATGGGGCGGTGTTTTAAAGAAGGACTTCTGATCTTCCTATTGCTGCCTACTGTTAATTGGCTGGCTTTTAAGCTACTGCTACTACTAAAATATTGAATTTACTAGAGCTATTTTTGAGCTACTTATAAGGAGAGCTTTAAAGGAACTTGTTTGGGGTTGCCACCACTACTAGTACTAGTCTACACAGAAATTATTAGTACTAGATTCACAGCTTTACTTCTTGGAGGAGTATAGGACAATGACAGCTTGTTGTACTTTCAAGAAGTAGTAGCTAGCGTTTAGCTACTAAGCTACATAAATGCTACTACTTTATTTTATCTTTAATCACCTACTAGAAAAGGGCTATTAGCAGTGCCATCTGCTCCTTGCTGTATTTATTACCAATGGGAGATCTACAAGAGGAGTAGTAGCTACTATGTACCCCTTCTTGAGGATGTACGTCACACAAACCTGTACTATGGTTTTTTTTTTTCCTGGGTGCATGAAATAAAATTCGCGCGCATATTTTGTGATGCTCGCACGCAATTATCTGGCTGTTTTCCTTGGAACATGTTCTCGTACCACTCATTTCTCATGTGGAGTTCCGTGCCCTTTCTCATGCTCAAAATTAATTCTTTTTCATGGAAAATATTATCGTATTCGGAGACGAATTGCTCACCCATTTCAAAAGTATCTCAACCATTCAAAAAAT